TTTAAGTAACTTAGGACCTTCCCATTTTTCCTTCGAATTGCGACATTATTCCAGTGTGTTTAGGAGTGCTTTTCGTTTATCCTGTTTTGTATTTCTTTTGATTTCAATGTTTAATTGCGATACCGTAATCCAATCATTCAATTCATGTGCCTATTTCCGAAGAACGATTTTGTGCCAAATTCTATAGGAGATGTGATATTATCTTTGCGCTATAGGTATGACAGCAAAGCAAATTGCTGGCAGTGTGTGTGATGCCCTGCAAAATGGTATTAATATCAATCTGTTCAGTTGCATTTCTGCGTTTAGGGCACGTGCAAGTATGTCATTGAAAGTGATTTTCTGTTTGTGTATAGGTGACCGATATTTTGGGATGCGCGTCATTTTTTCAGAGTTTGCAATTTTATTCAATAATCAATCGTAACAATATAGTGATCAGAGTCAGTGAAAACTTGAGTACGGGTTGTGACGGCGTGAATAAAATTTTTACATTTGGCAGGAGCGAGCACGAAGTCCAAATTGAACAAATCTATTGGCGTCCCAAGGAGGTTCATGGTGTGCAACAAGCTCTCGAAAGGTAAATTGATGCCTGGGTTTGGTTTTGGAATCAAGTGTTCATGACAAACAGGTCATTGCTTGCACAAAAATTTAAGAATAAACGTCTGTTTTCCATCATTTCGTCGGAAACATTGCGCAGGTATTGGCACCCACGTCCAAAGGTCTGAGGTGGTCGCATTTTCTGTGAAGGCGAACATTAAAATCGCCAAGGATGTATTTGACATGTGTTCTGGGGAATTTGTTGAAATGTCTTTCAAGCATGTCATAGAACAATTCTTTCTGTTGGGTATCAATCCCGCTTTGAGGAACGTAAGAATTAATGATATGGGTTGGAGGGCCAACAATACATAAAGATATCGATATAATTTGATCACTTAATTGTTTGAAATCGGTCATGCACAATCTGGTAATCGGATTTAAAAGAATGGCAACGCTATGATATTCTCGGTCAATTGCAGGTTGTGCATTTTGGCGTCACGTCCTTTACCTTTGCTTTTAGTTCTCCCTTTCACAATATTTATCATATGTTCAATGTTTTTACTTTGTTCGTCAATGATATTCGTCGAATATAGAAAAATCAGCCCTTGATGATTTCAGAACTATTAGTGTTGATGCGCATTTCTTGGAGGAGAAGGATATCGATATTGTGCTTTCTCATGACGTTAATCAAAAGCTGTTATTCGACATCACTTCCATTGGGTTTTAGCTCTTTACAGTTGAGCTTACCGATGCGAAAAGTCGTGTGATAGGCAAATTTGGGGTGACATTTCTGTAGTGACTCTCGGTTCTGCTTCTGCGGTGTTTGTTTAAATTGATGGAAAAGCTTTCTGCGTGTTCTATAATTGATAGGTTTTGGTGGTTTGTCGGAGATTTCCAGAGCCCTGGGTGAAGACATTGCGTGGTGAGCCAAACCCGTGCAATGCTGGGACGCTGTGTTGAAGGATCTGAAGAGTTGTCTATGTGAACGTTTTTGGCGTCTGTTTTCTATTTCTATATCCGTGATCGATCTAAGATCTCTGCAGCTTGCAATTCTTTTTCCCTCGTTATTGGCATTCATTAAGCATTTGTGGGAAACACCTCGGTTCCGCTGAGGTGATTCCCGCGGCTGTTCCGGCCCGCCTTGCAAAGCTGAAGGCGTGTAGGTGTTAGTGATTGTATTTGCGGCTAATAGCGACGGCCCGTGAGGGCATGCTTTGCAATCTCTGCGGTCCGATAGCGATAATAAAGACGGCTCGTGTCAATCATCCATCCTTTGATCTTCTTTTCCGTGGTTCAGACCTTGTTATATTAGCTGTCTTTTTCTTGACGAGGCGAAATTATCATGGAAAATCTTGCAAAATGTATGGTTTGCTTCTGGTCTACTGAGTGGCCTTTCCTTTTCCGGATCCTTTGCTCTGAGTGTCTGCGCTGTCTGCGATTTCTTTCGCCACATTGTAATCCATCTTGTCCCATGCTTGGGCCCAATGATCCTCAATGATATCGAAGAGGGGTGGTGCGATGATGATGATGGTGGCAATGGCTTCCACTTCATCGTAGTCGATGTAGATCACGGTGTCCGGGCCATGTAGGGTTGCGTGGTCGTACCATTTGATGGAGAGCACTAAGACGTTCTGGTAGAAGGGGCTTGCTTGGTGTGAGCTAAGCGCGATGTTGCCAATCTGCATGCGTTGTCGTAGAATGAATTTATTCATATTTGTGTTGATTGATCCCAATGGAAAGGGTGTGATTTGGTAGAGAAAAATTTTCGCCACCAGGATTGAAATTCGTCTTTTGCCAATTTGACTTGAAGGTGATGACGCTTATGTAGCTCAATATGTCCTCCCTTATGCGAATTCCTGGTGGGTGCCTACCTGGAAAAACATCCATTGTATGATACATTGATCATTAGCAGCTGTGAGATTTTTGGAGCCTATACTATGGATACAAATCCAATGGGGCGTCTACCATTGATTATTAAATATCCAACCAATTTTCTGAATGAATAGATCATGACCACACATATTAATCATTCCAAAACATCCATTCATCATATAATAATCCATTGCCAGCATTCCAGGAAAAAATTGAGTGTCCCCACAAGTTTCGAGGCATTTCTAAAGGTCGTCGAGGGGTCCTTATTTAAAAAGAAACTTCATTTGGGACTTCATGTCCCATTGTGTACGGACAAGGTATTATGGGTGGCCCTCCTTCATTGCATGGAAATAATCTTTTGACTTGGGGACTGAATTTAGCCTAAACCAATCATTATCCATACCTCATATAATCGAATAAAATTATATTCCTCCCGATCAATAAACAATCAGAAATTCTCGCGCCAAATCCCCCACAAATAATCATCTCCAAGGATATTTTACAATCCCTCCGATGAAAAAAGACAATAAACAATTGGATATATAATAATCCAAACAACAATTATCATATATAAAAATATAGCTATAAAGATCAAAGAACAACAATATCAACAAAACATATAATATTAAAATTATTATATCCATATATTATGATACGAATATAAGCTTTTAAATCTATATATATATTATATTGATATATTTTAAAAAATCAAAAAATCAATTTTATATATAAAATAATAATTATATTAATCTATTATATTTATATAATCATTTATATTTATCAAATAATATAATATTTCAAAAAATCCTTTAATAATTCAATATAATTAATATATATAAATAATTTATTATCTAAAATAAAACAAAACGAATTCAAAGAAATTATTATCAAAAACTAAAAAATATTTCCTTTAAATCATATTTGCATTAATAACTATATTATAAATTACTTAATATATATATATTATATATTAATTTCCAACATAATTCCAAATTTATATGGATTGCATTCAAAAAGTCCTATTCAAAAAATATAGATAAATATAATTTTTTAAGATTGGAAATATAATTTTAAGTCTTCGTTTAGAAGTCCCCCAACAGATTATGGTGATTCAACAAGGCAGCGCTAGATTAGCGCTAGGTTAACGCTAGGTCTCTTCATAACAAAATAAACAAACAAGAAAAAGAAAACATAATAGATAACAAAAAAAAGAATAACCAAAACAAATAAAAAGAAAAAACACAAACAAGAAAAAGAAGACTACACAATAAGAAGAAGACAAACAAACAAGAAACATAAACATCCAACAAGATATTTTTGCATTAAATTGGCGCTAAATCTACGCTAAACGACGATCCATTTCTTAATCATCTATCCATCCAATATCCCTATCTTTTAAATCAACTCAAATTTATACTAATAAAAAATTAAAGATAATTGTAGAAATCTAATAACACCAATAACAACAATTCCAACAATTCAATAAACCCTCAAAAAAAACGCATTAAACAACCCTCACAATTTGCGCAATTAACATACCTTCATATTTACCGTTTATCATCCCCATAATTTTAAATATAATTGTATGTTTAAAGAAATTTAGAGGCGAACCCCATAGAATTACAATAAATTCACCATTAAAAAAATGATTTTCAAAAAATATCCTTAATAAATAATTATTATCGAATTTATATCGATAAATAATCGAAAATTATTTCGAAAACAATTAAATATATACATATAATTTAATTATATTATATCTATTAATATATTTATTTAAAAAAACAAAACTACGAAAAATAAAGAAAGGACGAGAAGTAAGAACAAAATTCTGCAACAACGAAATCATTTTACATCGATAATGCAAAAAAGAATTTTATCAAAATAATATTCTAAGAAGATAGCAATTCGATCCGGATTTATTTCCTCGGAAGAAATCCTAAATATTTATTTCCTCGGAAACGACCTTTCATAAATATAATTTCATATATATTTTAAATATTCAAATATATATTTTACAATAATAAAAAAATATCTAAAAAAAACATGACCCCATAATTAAAATTATCAATAAACATTAAATCGAAATATCATAAAAATCAAATGTTCTTAAAATTACAAAAATTCACGAAAACATTCCCCAAGAAAAAAAAAATCCACAAAACAAACTCTAAATTCATATTCCCTCGACAAACACCATTCATAATTAAAATTTCATATGCATTCTAAATATTCAAAAATATTTCAATATCCTAACATTATAAAAACATAACGAAATAATTCTCCAAAAATTAAACTTAAAAAGGAAAAAGAAACGAGAAGAACATCGATATAAAAAAATCAATTCCCCGGAAAGGGGGAGAAAAAAATATTTATTCAAAAATCAATTCCACAAAAAAAAGAAAAGAATATTACATTAAACAATCAATTATTTAATCCGGAAAAATCGACACTTATTTCGCAAAACAAACTCAAAATATACCCTAAACAATTTTCTTTCGTGATTACAATAAACATATTTGGAAATTAATTTAATATATATTTTTTTTTATTAGAATATATATATATTTATATATAAAATTAAATTGAATATTATAGTTCCATATTCGTTCAAATTTGGTTCTGTGAAACGGCGGATCTTTTCTTGGATTAACCCAAATTTGGCTTCAGAACGTGGAACGAGATTCTCAGGTCTTGATCGATGGTCATCAAGGCACCTGCAAATGTGTTGATGTATCTGATGGCACGCCGAGAAATGGAGATCGACACAACGAAAGATTTTACAGCTCAATTTGGCAGCAGGTGCACCTGCGTTGTCGAACTCTTTGCAGTAATTGGGAGCCGAAAAGACCGTCACCAACCTTCGACCAGCAAAGAATTCGTATCCGTCCTGCTTCAAGGACTTGCCACAAAATGTGGCTGACCATGGCTGACTGCCATGGTAAAACCCAAAAGGTGAAGTTCGAAGGTGAACGAACAAAAATGATCGTTGTTGTGTCATTGGCCTGCATCTCTTACTCCCTGCTCTCATTGAGTTCTCATTTCAGCTTCAGTCTGCTGTTGATTCAGTCCTCCACAACTTGATGGGCACGACAAACGAGGTCCTGGTCAACTCTACTTCTTTCCACTCTGCTCATAATATGTTGTTGTGCCAACAAATCAAAGCAGAATCTCGTGAGTCACACCTGAACACACACATACCACAAAATAACGTAAAATAACGTGCGCACACACAATGAGATGATGCTGCTGCTGATGATGAGGAGGACAACGAGGATGAGAACAAGGACGAGAACGACCACGAGGACGAGGACGAGGACGAGGACGATGATGATGATGATGATGGTGATGGTGATGATGGTGGTGGTGGAGGAGGAGGACGACGACAACGCATATCCGCTATGAGTGAATAATCCTTCTTATATGTTGCACACATATATATATATATATATACACACATATATCCTTTTTGATCTTTGAGGTCTTCACATGTCTTTTTGCCACGACATTCCGAGCCCTGAAAGGAGCCCTTGCATCCCAGCGACTAAGTTGTGTCTTTGCAGGAAGGTGTTCAGAACCTTTGGGCCTCGGCTGTGTCTCGCTGCGAGATCCCCAAAATGCATGGCGTCGCGTGGCGACTGGCTGTAGAGAAAAGGTTCTGGCCGCCGTGTTTTTGGGGCAGTCGGGGTGAACAGAATCTTCTTGACCTACGTACATGAGCCATTGCTTATATATTTGCCCCGGCCTTCGATCTACGTCTGATGTACACTTTCCAACGCATCATACGCCCAAGCGACCAAAGGTGAAGGAGACTCCTCGATCATTGTCCGCCCAAAGCTCAACGCTTGGGTTTGGATCCGACCTTGGGCAAGCCATTTGCAAACACCCTAAGACCTGTGAGACCTGGGATGCTCTGGGCCCCACCTTCAACATCCTTCCACCTTGTTTCAATTTGGCAAAACATTGCAAAACACCTTGAGACCTCATGTTCTTTTGCGGAGCCTTGCTTCGCAGTGATGGGGTGCTGGCTGAGCAGTACTGGGCAAATCTTGATTAAGTCTTAGGCTCAGACCACAGGAGATCGACCAAAAGCCCAACTTCCCCGACATTCGCCTGGCTCACTCTCTTGGGATCTTATATGATTCTTAGATGTATAGAACTCAAAAACCTATCCCAACAAAGCAGGCTGGCGATGCAGGACGCTGAATGCTTCGTATCCTTGGTGGCCCAGGTTGGATGGATGATGCTGTAGACAGGAAAACGTCAGGATACTTATTGGGACACTCACAGGGTATTTGATGGTATTTGTTGTTGGTATTTGGTGATGGTTTATTCTTCCTTTATACCAGGGTGTGCTTCAGGGTGTGCTTCGTTTGGTTCCCGTTTTGAGACCCTTCCACCTGTGACCACAGGAGGGTCTGCTACTAGCTTGGGATTTCCAGTGCCAACAACCAACAACCAGTGCCCCCAGTGACTGTGAAAACCACGAGGAACCTCTCAAAATTGGGAAACGGGACGGCAGATCCAGTTTATGTCTCAAAAGACTCTGGCTGACCCTGGTACCCTGATGTAGCCCCATCTACCCACAGATGTTCCGTGATTTCTTCATATTTCTTCGTTGGTTCCGTCCATGTCGTCCATCGCCGAGCATCTGATCAAAGTCTTCCAGTTCTGGGGACAAGCCACCATGCATGCACAGGATCCGGTCATCGATGGATGCACACACCTGAAAAAAAAGAAGACAGCATTTTCTGGATTTGGAGGACCGTGAGAGTTTTGACATTGATACAGTAAGTCCTTCCCTGCGGTCTGTCACTTCATGTCGTCCCTTCTATTGCGCCTCTTATTTTAAGAAAGAACAACTATCCAACCGATGTCTGAAGTGCAATCGCTCAACCGGGACTTCGCTCCGTTCACGCCAAAAACCGACCGGCATCCGACAGGCATCCAGTTGAAGGCATCGCCAAAGGTCTTCCACAGCTTCACGGTGTAGCGCCGGTTGCACTCATCGAAGAAGCCTGGTTTCGCCCAGGTCGCTCGGTGTGGACTGGTCACTGGTCGCAAGGATCGCCCTCCGCCAAGCTCGGCACCGTAGATCCTGTTGATCGAAGCCTCAGCTCGGCGCTCGGCGAAGGCACCGAGGCGGCAGAGACCTGACTGCAGTCCAGGCACGCATTCATGGTTGCCACGAAGTAGAAAGAAGTTTTCGGGGTGCAGCACCTGCGGGTTTTCAGAGTCCAGAGTTTTCCTCCCACGATCTCCCACGTTTGACGTGTGATGTTGTTGTGAACTGTGTTTTGAACATCAGTCGGGTGTCTCATCTGACACGGGGACCCACCCAACTGATGTTCAAATACCCTGTGAGTTTCATGAAAAAGGGAAGACCTTTGGGACCTCCCAACCTATCCCCTTCGTGTCCCGGCTTAGGCCAAGGGGCCTTGTACGCGAACAGCAAGGAGACGCACTCGATGGAGTTTTTGCCCCTGGCCCGGGGAGAGGAACACGCAAAGTGACAGAGAATACGACCATGACAGCAGGTGTCGGTTTACATCGTGTTGGTCGTATTTATGTTGTACACAATTTTACCATATTTTACACCTCTTGATAATATGTGAGCTATCATCTCTGTGCGTTCTATCATGTCTTTTTTTCTTGCTTACTGGGGTACGCCCTCCATCACAAAGGTTCCTGATCTCCAGCGTCCCTCTTCCGAGGGCCTGTCCACATAGTCTCCCAGGAACAAATAGTTTCCTCAAAAATCGTCGTCGGTCGATCGGATCACGGTTCAAGTTCAGCTGCCCCGGATCACTCACTCGGCTTTGGACGCTGCCCGGGATCTCCGCCATATTCCAAGATTCGCAGCCTCGGAGCCCGCGCGGTGGAGCGCGCCCGCGGGCGGCCAATCTGAGGTCCCCCGACAGGTCGAAGTACTGTCCATGCACGTCTCCCACCACCTGACGTGCGAGAGGAAACGGTCTGACCGGCACCTGTCAAAACAGCCGTCCAACGAAGGTTCAAGCGGGGGAAGATCAAAAGCCTCTACAAATCAGAGAAGGAACGGTTTCTTCATCTACCCTCTTCTACTGGTCCCTCCGAAATGAGCCCTTCTGTATGAGCAGCAGCGCAAGTTGACGCGAGATGGGCTTCTTGGTTTGTTGAGCTTGGCTCAACAGTCAGCTGGAAAAAGGAAGAATTGATCTCCAGAGTTGTGACGTGGGTGTGCGTCAAAACCCCGGGTCTCAGGTGAACATCGCGCACCTTCCTGTTCCATAGGGTATGGAACGGATCCCTTGTTCCATAAGGTATGGAACAGGTATGGAACGGGGGCATGGAACAAATTGTACCAAAAAACCTGACGTGTCATCTCAGTCCCGTTTCTCACGGTAAATGTATTTCAGCAAGCAAAGCGCGCGTTTTGATTGAACCTCGAACAATTGGAAACTAGGAGTCCATAGGTATGGAACATTATGGAACGATGGGTATGGAACGGCGAGCAGACATGCTGTTCCACAGGTAGGGTATGGAACGAGATGTTCAAGAGTACATGTTCCATACCAAAACGTTTTGACTCATGGCCACATGTGGTCGTGAACGCATCAAAAGCCTCCAGCAGGACTCCGGTGCTTTTCATGCTTTTTCATGCTTTTTCACAGCTGCCTGCATTGGAGGATCAAGCTCCAGCAGCATTGGCTGGTCTGCAAAAACACTTCTGGCCTTCAAGGCTCCAGTTGAGGCAAGGCAAAAAGGCACCAAACTCGCTCGTTCGAACGGATGTCTTGTTCGTTCACAAGAAATAATGAAGCAAGGTTGCAAAGTGCTGCCGAAAAAGGGAGCGAACCCACAGCACAACGGCTTCGAGGAGTAAGAATGATTCCGGGACCGCGAGCTAGTGACAGGTAGCGGGTCAGCAGCGTGCCTTGGTGATCAGCAGGTCCAAGTCCTGCTCCCTCAAGGACACCATCCTGGTCCGGCACAGCAAGATCTTCACCCACCAAGAAGGATGAAGGCACGTCTTCCGATCGCGCTTGCGGCTGCAAGCGGCGCGGCTTTAGCAGATTGACAGAAAACAAAGACTCTGGCTCTAAAAGCCTGTGTTCCAATCTATCCTCCCTCAACATAGTCATTGCCTGGGATTCCGGCTGATTATCCGCTGGCTTTTTGGTGCGAAGCTGCCGTAGGGCTTCAATCCTCCACGTGAAGGCTCAAGCGTGCTCAGTTGTGCCGAAACGAGGTCAGAGGTAGGTAGAAGTCGCGTAACAAAAGGAGTCAAAAGCCTTTGAACGGTGCATGTGATGTTCTCGTTTTTTCTTCCGTTCATGGCATCTGATATTCTTGCCGGATCTGATGGATGTCTGAGCCCCACAACACACGTTCGCTCAGTAGTGAAAATGAAGGCAACACGGTTAAACAACGTTCTCCTTGGGTCAAGTGGCTCAAGTGGGGGAGAGAAACTTATGAACGAATGGGATGCCATTAGTGGAATGCTTTTGCCTCCCCCCAATGGACGCATCTTGTTTGAGCCATGGAACCTTCACAAAGGTCTAACCCTTTGCAGAAAGTCTCAACCAGAGAAACAGCATGAAAACATGCATATACAATATATTTATATTTATATAAAGGTTGGACAACGCAACAAACACACCAAAACAACATAAAGAGATCTGTTTCCTTAAGAGAACATGTTTTCCATAAGTTCCTCAGGAAACCAACCGTACTCTCTAGGACTACCCTGGTCCGTTCATCGAAAAGGACCGCCCTGCTCGCAGCCACTCTGAGGAGCCACACATCTCTGGCAGCTTCAGCTCGCGCCTCGTCGGTGGGTCTCTGGGACGGACGGCTGAAAAGGGATCGAGGTTCCATTCTGGAAGAAACCACCAAACCACGGACGAGGGGATCTGGATGTCCTGGAAAGGAATCATCCTCCAAGAATCAACAAACAAATGAACGAAGCAATCACAAAAGCAGTGCTTTGAGTGAAGTCAATGTGACTGTTAAGTCACCACATCACTGCAAAAACAAGCACACCTCCCCGGCCCCAAAAAAGAAAAACGCACCTGGGCAGCTTGGCAGGACGCCCTACGAGCGACGCTTTGTTCCCACCATCGAACGACCGTTGCCGACCCACGGTCGCTCGCTCGATCGGTCGGAGGTCGCTCCGGACGTCCCGGCGGGACCGGTGAAACAGGGATTTCGGAGTTCTGAAACATCTGAAACAGTCGTTCTGGCGGCAATTCACCGTGATACCTACATGTATAGTGGAGCATTCAGAAACATGTGGATGTGTTTGGACATGTTTTGAAGTCGAGGATGTATGGGCTCTTAACAGAGCGACACGACGCCTCTAGCCATCTGGCCATGTGTCTCATTCTTGCTTCTTCAGCGAGTTTACAACCAAGCTTGGACAAGCCGCAGCTTCGTTTCCGCGTTCCGCAGCCTTCGGCAAATGCTGCCATGGCTTTGGCCATGTTCACCAGTATCTACATTAGATCCAGAGAACCTTATTTACTGTAGAGGGAAGTCAAAAAAACAGGTTGGTTTTCTGGGCACCTTCTGCACCTCTTGGATTCAGATTTGTGAAGGTGTTTTCAGACAGTTCTCGGCAGTAACTTGCAAGAAAACGAGGCAAGTGTGCTTTCACAACCTTTCGGTCTTAAGGATTTTAGTTGTCAAGAGTTGGATCTCGGCGGGAAAACGATGCAGCGCAGCTTTTCCAGCTCAAAGGTCATTTCTCTCGTTGCTCTGTTAGCTAGCGCAGTAGACTCGGTAGACCTTGCTGGTAAAATTCAATTCAACTTTCACGTTCTGAGCAAGGAGTAGCTGCGCGGACAGGCTCATGCATGGCAGTTGCTGACCAGCTGACACGGCAAAACTAAACTCTGGGTACAAACCAAGTCAAGCTATCAAACAGGGCAAAGTTCTCCCATTGCCTCGTGGTTGTACTGAAATGATTGACTCCGTGATCTACATCGAACAGGCCACCCTTTTGCAGCACATGGTCATCCGCTGAACAACGGCGATCTCCTTGGGCACGTGATGACAAAGAGCTATGAGACATCACATATGCGATGGCCTCCAACCTACTAGCGATGCCCTCCAACCTACTAGCGATGCCCTCTAACCTACTAGCGATGGCCTCCAACCTAATAGCGATGGGTGCCTGGAGAACTTGGCCCAAAGAATTACACCCTGAAAGTAGAGGAAAACCCATCTTCCAGGGAGCCCTAACCATGTGGGTGACATCGGGAACAATATTCGGTCGACGTGGCCCTGGAGGACGTGGCCCCAACAAATGAGCCAAAATCCGATGTCAATCAAGCAGTGTCCACTCAAGCAGAGTCTTCTGAGGAGCAACGCCCTAAATTTGATTCCTGCAAATTGATTTGAAGATCCTTATCTGAGCAGTCCTCATCTGAAGCTCTCAACCTTCTCGGAGAGAAGCTCCTTGGCCACGAAGCAAATGGCATTCTCACACCAGGGTTCGCTGTGCCAGAGCGAGTGCAGTCACGTCCACCAAGGCATCAACATCAAAAGACTGGGAGGTCTAGAGGTCTCTGGAGGTCCGAGGGTCCGACCTGAGAGATCAACACAAGGGACTCCCAGGGATGTGAACCGACTCAGTTTTGGATCTGCCTTGGCAGAGTGGGACTGCCTTGGCAGCCCAACGCCCATCCCAACGACCGACTTGGCGCTCCCAACCAAGGTGGGTGGAGTCACAAAGCCGAGGTCCCACAGCTCCGTCTGGGCGTCGAGCAACGACGGACACGGACCGCTTTTGGGAACCGGACGGTTTCATGTGGCTCGGGTCGAAGCATTCCATGGCTCCGTGGTGAGGGTTTGTTTTGGAAGCCTCCCATTGGTGAGGGTTTGTTTTGTTTTTGGCTCACGCCCCCCCTAACGACCCCGGAGAATTTCAATGTTTTCACCATTAACCAAGTTGATGCTGCGTTGGGGATGGGGTGGGGTGGGGATGGGGTGGGGTCTGTTAACGTTCGCTTGCACTTGCA